TGTTCTCCCCTCCAATCAGAAGGGTTGGCTGTTCTGCAAGGCCAGGGCCCGGACAGGATTCATGTTTTAAAGGCTGTTTCTCAAACATTGTCATTCTCTGATGCTTTTTCACAACTATCAGAAGAGAACTGAGAGTTTGCTTGCACATAGACGTTCTCACTATTAGTAGCCCTTTTCAGAAAGCACAACATGCCAGTAAATCATCATAATACTGCCACCACAGTGTCTCATGAACCCGCCATGGCAGCATGGCGTTGCAGGAATTTTGCAGCATTCGTGCCGCCAAGATCAGTAGTAATATTGTCGCAACGCCAGACCTGTGAATGCATATTACAGCTCGGCGTGACAGAGGGAGGTGTCATGAACACGTACTCCGGCCAGAAACTGTATTGAAAATGAAAGTAAACAGAACCAGCTGCCATGATAAACTGGAGTGATGCAGAGCTCCAGGAGCTCAGATCACCAGAACCTACACAGGGACCGTGGAGGAATGACACTTTAAAGCAAGTTATGTCCAAGATGAACGAAAGTCTGTGGCAGCGCAGAGACGGCTCCCATACCCCTTTATGCTGCCATTGTGTAAGCTTCTGTAAAAAGAACACGATCGTTCCGCAGTACCGCCACGGTCCTACCGACGTAAGGCTCCCTGATGCCGCCACGGCGTTGCAGCTAGTTGGCAGCCTAAAAGTGGTTAATAACATCAGCCAAAAAATAATGCTGTGTTGTTTTCTGCCCTGAGGTGGTTGATCAGAACAATGTATGGGGAGGGGGTGTTAATGGAGCTGCAGATGTGAACTTGTCTCTGAGCCCCAAACTGACTGATAGCTGGCTGAATCTCCAACTGTGTCTGAGTATCCCCACATTCATTAGTGCTCCTGGATTAAACTCCTCACATGGATCCTCGAACAGCCGTTTGTACACAGAGAAAAACCTGCAGGCTACCTTCAGGCTCCTGCTGTTACCAGAGATACCTTTCTCCTCTCTTGTGTTCCGGTGTTTGGGGTGTTGCTGGGATGTTTTGAAGAGTGAACGCTGCATCAGGAACAGACGCCTACTGTGGCTTTTATTTGCCACAAAGCAGCGAGCGAAGAGAGAAGAAACAAGAGTCGTGAATTAATGATGCTTCAGAGTCCAAACAACCGCCTGATTTCTGTTTCACAAGGCCTGACCTGGAATTGGCACTTCTGTGGGGGTAATTTGAATACCACGATGGCAGTTAGGAAGAGGGGAGGGTATTTGGGTTAGGAGGGATAATCCACTCACCCCTAAAGAGGATTGCAGCATCTCACAGGCTCTGATGAGTTGTGAGCTGGTGTCTATATCGCATCACAAGAACACGAGAGTCTGTGTGCTTCGGCGGCAAACCACCGTGTCACTGGAAGCATTATGGGTAATTGTTGGGATGCAGGAGAGAGAGGAGGAAACAGGAAGGGGGAGAGGAGGATGAGCGAATGTCTTTATTTATCCACACATCCTGGAGTTTAGAGAGACGGTGTGATGCCAGAGTCAAGGCTGGAGCAGAGCTAGTGAGCCCCCTGATTAAAAATGGTGAATTCAAAAGATTTTAGAGGAAGATAAAAAGTTCATCATTATCCAAAGCATGTTTGCTCATAAGGGAGAGAAAAGACAGCGGGATGAACAGAATAGTGACGTGTAAGTACTTCAACTCAGAGTTGGTTACTTCCACTCTGGCCACAACATTCAGCATCAGACACATTTAGGCCCAACCCCGCAACTCCCTACAGACTTCTGTGAAGTGCACTTGGAGGAAGTGCGCAGTAACCCTGGCTTTCCACGGGAGCCGTCAGCAGCACGTTACTGCAGCAGCACTTCATAGCTGCTGATAGGAACCGCTGTGGTCAACAGAACCTTTTCCACTGGAGCCGTCAGCAGCGCGAGTCGGCCGCGTCTCAGGAGCAGCATGTCGCGGCCTTTACGCGCCGGTTCTATTTTCTACGCGCGACGCCTCTGAAACGGGTCAAGTTCGACATTTTTGGGGAAGGAAAGACAGGAAATCGGACGCGGAAATGGAGAGAAGCTCCCGAGATTTTCAGAATAAAGAACGTACTGCCTTCCGGTTGCTTTACTTTAAAAAAAAGTTACTAACTGTGCGTCCCCGTGAGAAGTTATCACCTAGCTAGCGGTCTCCTTTGTTTTTCAGGTCCGTATTGGCAATTATAAAACGGACAGAACATAAAACACAAACCATGTTGTAGTTTTCTCCTGCTTGTTGTTGTGTTTACCGACGAAGTCACTCGTGTGACTTCGTGCTCGGTCGGTGACAGCTGCTCCCCTGCTGCTTCGCGTCTCGTGGGAAGGGCCAAGCAGCAGCTTACGCTAGCAAGACGTGCTGCTGCAGTAACGTGCTGCTGACGGCTCCCGTGGAAACCCGGGGTAAGGCTTCGAGTGCGTGGTGCACAAGTGTGTAAATAGGTGATGAATCAGGACAGGGAGTGTTGCATCATCGATGATGCCTGTTGCCCTGCTGCTTTTTGTTCTAAGACCTTTATTAACAACTTTCAAACAAACAGCCAGACAAAATTTACATTCACTGATGTCCACATTAAATCTCATTCAGAGCATAAATAAATATCAGTAATTGTCTAACAATAAACTTCTTTCATTTGAAAATACATTTTCAGAAAGTCATTGTTCCTCCTTCTCAAAATTCCCACTCAGCACTGGACTATGCCCTCTGCCAAAGTCTGCATTCATGTGGACTTTGACTTGATTTGTACTTTGCTTCTGCAAAAGGGGCGTGGTCAACTTCCACAGTTGAGGATCAGGACACTCCAATCACTCGCACCCCTGGACAGGATAGTGCAATTGAGCGTTCTGGGATTTGGCCTAAAGCTGTTAGAAACGGGTGATGAAGACTCGCAGATTTAGGACGACACGATATCCTCAAGAAGAGCTGTAGGCTTTATGCTCAACAGGTGGTCTCAGGACCTCTGTTGGTCCCGCTCTGATGGTTTCTGTTCTGAGACAAAACTTTAATTCTTTAATAATGTCCCCTTAGAGTCCCTACTGCACCAAGCAAGCCCCTGCTCAAGAACAGGTGCTAAAGCGGGCCGGATGAACATTGTAAAAAGGACTACTGACTACTACGTTGTCACTAGTTCAAAATGCCAAACTCAATTATTCTTATATAATCCAGAAGGATGCTGGTATACATGGACAAGTTAGATCTGGGCTTGCTGTCAGAGTCTTGTTTCTTCTCTGACTCTTTCATTAACCTGCAAGCTGGGTTGTTTTTCTCAACAACAAGGACACTTTCCAACCAGAGCCAAAGATAATCTATTGATCAACCACTGGGACAACATTTAGTCATGAACAACGCTACGCTGGGCAGTGCCGGGAGTCTTTCAGTACGAGGTAAATCCTTCTAGCTAACACTGAGCGACGCAAATAACATTCCTGACTTTGCAAAAGCGAATGGCTGCCTTCTCATCTGCTGATTGAAACGTTGCTCCATCTGTCCTCGTAGGCGCTGTGCTGCTGCACGGACATGCTGGGTCGCTTCTTTTTAATACACAGAGTAGAAGAGCTCATTTTAATTTCCTGCCGCTGATCAGGGCGATGCTGGTGGTGTCCCCTCCGTGTCCATTTAAAAGTGACACCACCAACATCGGCGATGCTCTGGCGAAGGTGACAGCAGTAGCCAAAACGGTCAGGAGGAAGGTGAAAACGAGCTCCTCTACTCTTGTGTGTAAAATAGAACCGAAAACTACGGAATCAGAAAATCAACACAGAATAAATGCTTTTGAGTAGCTTTTAATTCGTGGAACAAGAACTCACAGTGAAGCAGGTGCACACGTGCAGTGCACGGTGGGTGAATTAGATCAGTGTGTAAGGTTTGATCTGACTGGAGTGTGATTGTCAGGTGTAGACGGAGTGCACGATTCACACAGACAGCTCTGTAATTGAGACAAAATGCTGCTCCTGGTGCTGCGGAGCCCTGAGAGAGGGGAGATGGACCTGCCTGGACTTAAATGGCTCTTTCTTGCTCCTTTTTGCCACTTTGAAACGAAGGCAAGCTCTCACATAACCTGTCTTTTTGTTTCACCTGATTCTCTCCGACCTGACGGCGCGGGAGGATAGTCACCACTCCTCCTGTGTTGCTGTGAGCCACTGGTGAAGCAGAGCTTGGATCTGATCCAGCTCATTAAAACTCAGTTAATGTTTGTGCTGATGGCTCCACAGAGACGAGGCAGTGTTATTCCTGCGTCTGATGAAGCTTTTATGGCTTACAGCACAACACCACGCTCTGCAGGGATGCCTTTGATTCACTCACAAGCATTCCCAGTTTAATGCCGTTAGTGTGGAAAACCTTTTTATGGTGTGTAACATATTATGTGAGACAGTCTGTGGAAAAGCACGGTGGTTGTGCTGTTGTTGACAGCTCAGGAAGGAGATTTGTTTTCACAGAAAAACAGCAATCAAATGATTTCTGTTCTATATTCAGATCTAGCGTCGGCTCCCCGCCCCCTCTCCTTCCCAGCGGCTGTTTTCTTGCTTCTTTATTCAGACAACAGTCAATGATGCTTACTCTCATTAGAAAACCCATCTTACGTGTGATTATAGATGTTGTCAAAAATGTGACACACAAGGAGCAGGAGCCTTTATTTCCCTCAGATATGAGTAAAAACACTGCTACGGTGGGATGTTGCCGGGATTCTTCTTGAATTCTGACCGAGTGCTAAAACATATTCTGCCACAATATGAGTGTTCGGTTGCCCAGACTGTGTGGTATCCAAGAGAGCTGCTGTTTGAATGTTAAGGTCAGATGAGCAGTGTTTGTGTGCGGCAGCATCTCAGCAGACCCAAACCTGAGGGGAGGCGGAGATTTTGACCTTTTCATTAAATGTTAACACAGATCTGTTTGGTTTTACTCTGACTGCTTCGGCGTTGAGTTCATTACTCCAGCATCATCATTCTCGTGATGTCATCAGCTCAGTCTGCTTGAATCTGAGTGTGTCGCTGGGTTTGCATGTGTGCAGGTGTAAAGGAGCCTCCCACTATGGGCTCTCAGCGGACAGAAAGAGACGCTCACAGGAGGGTGAGTGCACCGACAGCACATCAGAGCTCACCGTTGCCACGCTGCCCAGTGATGGCCCCACCTCCGCCGCTGTGGCTCTGCTGTCAGATGAACCCGGCCTGGTCAACCCGGCCTTTGACCCCAGCATGGAGGACAACAGTCAGTCAGGCAGCATGACCAGCCTGGCTGCTGGCAGCAGCAGCAAAAAGCGTGAGTGAGAGCGGGCGAAAAGTCACAGAACAAGAATATTCCGACAGACTCTGAAGTGGACGCCAGTAATCTTTGTTTTAATGTAAACACACTCATGATGCCTGTTTACCCCACATACAGTCTTTGTTCTGCCTAATGGACTTTGATAGGAATCCTATTAACCAATTAGCTCGGCTACCCTTTCTCCCAACAAATCCATAAAATTTCTCTTTGTGGAAAAAGAAGAGAAGCAGAGAAAGTCGCATAGAAAGGCAGTCAGTGAGAGGGCAGGCACACAGTGCGCTAAAGAGGAGCTCTAACGAGAGGAAGGTTAAAAATAGCTGGTGCAAGTGTGTGATCATACTCAGTGACGTGATCGACAATGCTCCTTCTTTTACTCCCACCTGTGATACCAGGAGGCAGTCATGAGTGTTCCTCTTTGCTCCTCAACTACAGTAAGTGCTCAGGGCACCAAATGACGCTGCTGCAGCACTCTAGGCTCAGCCAGCTGAACACCCACCACCACCACTGAAGAAATGCACTCCTCGATGTCAAATGGTTTTAATGACAAGCATGAAGGAGCCCTGCGGCGACATACAAAGGAGTGAGCAGAAGCTAACGGCAGCGTGAAGCAGCAGCATGGGCTGAAGGCCAAAGCTAAGCAATGTGATAAAATAGGTAAATAAATGCAGCGCGGCTTAGCGTGCATACTGACAACGTGACCATTACATTAGCTTAACAAGCAGGTGAAGACTTACAGATGCAAGTCGAACAGTAGATTGGATAGACAGCAGTAGCATGGATAGACAGCAGTAGCATAGATAGACAGCAGTAGCATGGATAGACAGCAGTAGCATGGATAGACAGCAGTAGCATAGATAGACAGCAGTAGCTTAGATAGACAGCAGTAGCATGGATAGACAGCAGTAGCATACATAGACAGCAGTAGCATAGATAGACAGCAGTAGCATGGATAGACAGCAGTAGCATGGATAGACAGCAGTAGCATGGATAGACAGCAGTAGCATAGATAGACAGCAGTAGCATGGATAGACAGCAGTAGCATAGATAGACAGCAGTAGCATAGATAGACAGCAGTAGCATAGATAGACAGCAGTAGCATGGATAGACAGCAGTAGCATAGATAGACAGCAGTAGCATGGATAGACAGCAGTAGCATGGATAGACAGCAGTAGCATGGATAGACAGCAGTAGCATAGATAGACAGCAGTAGCATAGATAGACAGCAGTAGCATGGATAGACAGCAGTAGCATAGATAGACAGCAGTAGCATAGATAGACAGCAGTAGCATGGATAGACAGCAGTAGCATGGATAGACAGCAGTAGCATAGATAGACAGCAGTAGCATGGATAGACAGCAGTAGCATGGATAGACAGCAGTAGCATAGATAGACAGCAGTAGCATGGATAGACAGCAGTAGCATAGATAGACAGCAGCAGCATAGATAGACAGCAGTAGCATGGATAGACAGCAGTAGCATGGATAGACAGCAGTAGCATAGATAGACAGCAGTAGCATGGATAGACAGCAGTAGCATGGATAGACAGCAGTAGCATAGATAGACAGCAGTAGCATAGATAGACAGCAGTAGCATGGATAGACAGCAGTAGCATGGATAGACAGCAGTAGCATAGATAGACAGCAGTAGCATAGATAGACAGCAGTAGCATAGATAGACAGCAGTAGCATGGATAGACAGCAGTAGCATGGATAGACAGCAGTAGCATAGATAGACAGCAGTAGCATGGATAGACAGCAGTAGCATAGATAGACAGCAGTAGCATGGATAGACAGCAGTAGCATGGATAGACAGCAGTAGCATAGATAGACAGCAGTAGCATGGATAGACAGCAGTAGCATGGATAGACAGCAGTAGCATAGACAGCAGTAGCATAGATAGACAGCAGTAGCATAGATAGACAGCAGTAGCATGGATAGACAGCAGTAGCATGGATAGACAGCAGTAGCATAGATAGACAGCAGTAGCTTAGATAGACAGCAGTAGCATGGATAGACAGCAGTAGCATAGATAGACAGCAGTAGCATAGATAGACAGCAGTAGCATGGATAGACAGCAGTAGCATGGATAGACAGCAGTAGCATAGACAGCAGTAGCATAGATAGACAGCAGTAGCATAGATAGACAGCAGTAGCATGGATAGACAGCAGTAGCATAGATAGACAGCAGTAGCATAGATAGACAGCAGTAGCATAGATAGACAGCAGTAGCATGGATAGACAGCAGTAGCATGGATAGACAGCAGTAGCATAGATAGACAGCAGTAGCATAGATAGACAGCAGTAGCATAGATAGACAGCAGTAGCATGGATAGACAGCAGTAGCATGGATAGACAGCAGTAGCATAGATAGACAGCAGTAGCATGGATAGACAGCAGTAGCATGGATAGACAGCAGTAGCATAGACAGCAGTAGCATGGATAGACAGCAGTAGCATAGATAGACAGCAGTAGCATAGATAGACAGCAGTAGCATAGATAGACAGCAGTAGCTTAGATAGACAGCAGTAGCATAGATAGACAGCAGTAGCATAGATAGACAGCAGTAGCATAGATAGACAGCAGTAGCATAGATAGACAGCAGTAGCATGGATAGACAGCAGTAGCATGGATAGACAGCAGTAGCATAGATAGACAGCAGTAGCATAGATAGACAGCAGTAGCATAGATAGACAGCAGTAGCATGGATAGACAGCAGTAGCATGGATAGACAGCAGTAGCATAGATAGACAGCAGTAGCATGGATAGACAGCAGTAGCATGGATAGACAGCAGTAGCATAGACAGCAGTAGCATAGATAGACAGCAGTAGCATAGATAGACAGCAGTAGCATGGATAGACAGCAGTAGCATGGATAGACAGCAGTAGCATAGATAGACAGCAGTAGCTTAGATAGACAGCAGTAGCATGGATAGACAGCAGTAGCATAGATAGACAGCAGTAGCATAGATAGACAGCAGTAGCATGGATAGACAGCAGTAGCATGGATAGACAGCAGTAGCATGGATAGACAGCAGTAGCATAGATAGACAGCAGTAGCATAGATAGACAGCAGTAGCATGGATAGACAGCAGTAGCATAGATAGACAGCAGTAGCATAGATAGACAGCAGTAGCATAGATAGACAGCAGTAGCATGGATAGACAGCAGTAGCATGGATAGACAGCAGTAGCATGGATAGACAGCAGTAGCATAGATAGACAGCAGTAGCATGGATAGACAGCAGTAGCATGGATAGACAGCAGTAGCATAGATAGACAGCAGTAGCATGGATAGACAGCAGTAGCATGGATAGACAGCAGTAGCATAGATAAACAGCAGTAGCATGGATAGACAGCAGTAGCATAGATAGACAGCAGTGTGATGGTTGAGCAGCAGCAATCCAAATGAGAGGCAGCGGTATGTACAGTCAGGGATAGTCACGTGTACGTGACTTCAGGCACGTCCCTGAATACACCTTTTTCCCTCGAGGCTTGATCGCAGCACACCCTAGTGGCCAGTGGGGACCTCTGCAACCACCACCACCAGTGCGAGCTAGGGGTTGTATGAACTAGTCGACTAGTCGACTTCACGGCTCTGTAGTGACTTTTTATGCCTGTCATCGACTAGTCGCTGTCACGTGATAGTGACAAGATGCAGTCCTCGGAAAAGACAGCAGGGGATGAGCCACTGCGCGTCGGGATCGAGGCGGAGTCGACTCCCCGTGCCAGAGCGTCGGTACTGACACCGGCGGTAAAACGGACATTTAACCAAACTGTGACCTTTTCCCTCTTGCAATTTTACCTTCCCCTCACCCCCATCCTAATCTTAACCAGCTTGCGCATGCAAAGCTCTGATCGTTGACGCGCTCTAGACATCTGCATCCTGAGCACCGCCAAATCAGGTGTCACCATCTCAAAAACAAATTTAACACGCGATCGTTCATGTCAGCTCATTTCCTTTCATGTTTTCTGTCTGTTATTTGTGCCTGATGAGTTTCGCTGCTGCGGAGCGAGGCGCATCACCTGTTTTGTCCTCCGTTGACGCACCCCCAAGATTCCACTATCTCCGCTCCGCTCCGGCACGAACTCCGCAGCAAAAACGGTCCCGTTGTAGTCGGCCGGCGAGCAGCAGCAGCAATCCGCTGTTTTTGTGGTCGGTAGATCTTTTAGAACTGCAGTTCAATGGTAACTCATGAGGTGAATATATATGAACCCAGGTAGCAGTTTCTCTTTAGGATTGAGAGGAGATGCAGGAAGATAATAAACAGACAGGACAGAAAAATAGTCAAATAAAAACAAGTTAGTTTTTGTACCTGCTGGTTGCAACAAACAGACACCATTGAAGGTAATCAGAAGTGAGGAGCAGAAAATGAAATAATTATTTTAATGTTTAGAGCAGCAGGAACTCTGACAGGCTGCAGGCGCATCAGTGAGTTTGCGGCCGCTGCGCAGGGGGAGGGGGGAGAGGACTGAAGCAGAAACTACCGTTGTTAAAAGAAATGTGTTTAACTTTGAAAATGTGGGCGCAATTTTAATTGTCAAAAACTCCAGCGAACCCCCCCCACCCACCCCCTCACCCCAACCCCCCACCCCACCCCCAGTGCCGCTTCAGGTGTATGACGTCATCAACGACTAGTTGAAGTCGACTCGATTTTCATTACTTGACTGTCGACTTTAAAAAAAATTAAGTCATGCAACCCCTAGTGAGAGCGCTGCAACTGCTGAACAAGCTGTCAGCTCCAGCAGCCGCAGGCGCTTTTTAAAGAATAATGTGGCTGTCAGGAACCCTCACTTTCCCCTGGCCCGCAGAGGGAGGGAGTGGCGCTGCAGAGCTTCCGAGCTGGGAGCAGCCAGGCCATGGCAGCTACCCTGCCACTGCATCCACTTGTAGTCTTAAAGCAAAGTACCAGGAAAGAGCCTCAATGGGCCAGGTCCGTTTTGGACATGGTCTTTGGAGTCCAGGGTGGGTTGCATCACTGCTGTAGTTGCACAACTATGTAACTCTACACAGCACTCAGACGGGGTTTATTAATACAATAGAGACCAGCTGAAGGCAGAAGCTCCACGCACAAGAAGATGTTCTATTTTAGGTAAAATCAAAACGTACCCAACAAAAACTACATAAGGAGACAGTCTAAAAGGGCAACAACCACATTCTTATGTATTTCAGTGGAAGCACTAGAGTGACTTAGCAGTTTTTCTAATTAATTCAAAACTTAAAGAGATTATTATGGCCATTTTGAGGAGTTTCTGTGTAAAAATGTAAATAATTACTATTATTATCCCTTTTAAATGTATGTAGTTATTTTTTGTGAGCCATTCCTTAAACCTGGAAATAAGATCCTTGGATTCAATCCCACCCTTCAGCAACACAGGAGTCAACTACAGAACATGTTCCGGTTGCCTGGCCGCTAAACTGTGATTGCCAAGTTCCCCCTAACCAAAGAGATTTCTCCGTCTGTAGAAACACACACACACACACACACACACACACACACACACACACACACACACACACACACAGTCTGTCTTTGATGCTCACTCAATAAACGTTAAAGTCATTCATCTAGCAGCTAGCATCCTGGTTGTGCTCATGGCTCTTGTCTATCCATCGGGTGGTTTTAGCATTGGAATGGCGCCAGTTTCCGTACTCCGGCTGAAAACCCATTTCGGTGCAGGCGAAGTGTAACGAGCAGTCTGTACAAACACAGTCACATTCTAGCTTAGTTTTAGGAGCTCCTGAAGATAAAAATCAACCATTAATGCCCATTAAACTCTTCTTCAAGAAGACTGGACAGGGATCATGTAGCTCCTCCAGACAAAAATCCATTTTGGGATTCTAGGCATTATTATTATTATAATTATTATTATTATTATTAGTGCAGACTATATAAGAAAGAAATCCTTCTTCACAAACGTGGAGTTAAAACAATCCTGCTAGCTACGTGGAGAAACTGGGTGTTAGCGTTTACAGTCCAGGGAAGGAGGGATCTGGGTTTAACAGGAGGAAGAGCAGAGCAGTGATGATGCTAAACGGGCCCCATCCAGGCATTTGCTGTAGATTAGCAGAGCTGACAGGAAACTGAAGCTCAGAGAGCAGAATGCACATGTGAAGCCCACAACCACATAAACAATATAACATGATCAAAAGCTCCAAAAAGGGGATTTAGCATGATAGAGGACCTTTAACACTGCTGAAATAACTGAAATGCTATCCCAACAGTGGCGAAAAGGGTTACTTATTAAAACTGAATAAAGGGCTATCTGATTTTAATTTTAAAAACTGAAGCGGTTTAGGGAAGGCTGTGAAACATTTCGGTCTTGGCTGGTTTGGGCAAGCTGTTAGCTCATCGTTCTGAGACCAAATAAAACAGTTGATGTGATATACTGTAAATCAGCATCTTATCTTACTAGAAAAAGGGGCTAAAAACACGCTTCGTTTAAAAAGTCCTGTCTCGTACTAGCATTACGTTTAGGCACTTGTTCTGACAGCATCATACAGGAATTTCAGCTTTCTGCCTGTTTCTGTTGCAGCGTGTAAACCAACACAGGTCTTTTCAGAGGAGGCTGGAGCCTGACTGGACCAGACTCAGACATGTCTGGGCATGTTGGGAGTGACGGAGGCTATAAAGAGCCTCTCTGTCTTTGTTTTGCAGTCAGGAATTTTGACCGTTCTTCAGTGAGGAGCCGCTCCTTCAGGAGGCTGAACCGGGCCTTCAGTGTTCTCCGGAGAACCAAGAGTGGCACCGCAGTCAGCAATGAAACATCTGAAGAGAGGGACAATGCCAGGAATTCCAGTGTGCCACCAGAAGGTACGGACCGAAGCTTTTACATCCAACTCCCTGTCTCCGAGAGACTTCCTGAGAGAACAAGACGTGTGTGTTTCCAGATGTTTGTCTTTTCAATGTTCCCTTGGCTGTGTGAGGAAGGTTTTGGGCCCATGGTGGATCAGCAGCATGTGTTTCTTTAATAATTCAGTTTCCAGATTGCAGAAGTCTGCTGGTGCATCACCACAGACAGATGAGGAGGGAGATGCAGCCTGAGGCACTGTGCATAGTGATGTTACACCAAAGGTCGCTGGAGATGAGGCTGATGACATCCACCCTTCTCTTCTGCATCTCCTGTTCTTTACTTTAACCTACTCTTCTGCCGTCTCCCTCTCCACCTCCATCCTCAGTAATCCTGCATCTTTCCATCCTCACCTTTTCACCTTCAGACTTGCATTTACGTAGTCTTCAGGGACATGTGGATCTCTTCAGGGACATGTGGATCCGCGAGACACTCAGCAGAAAGGAAAACAACACATGATGTAACGTCCACTTCGCAAACCTTTTCATGGCATACTGGAGGTATTATAGTCAGCCATAACAGAACATTATGTTGAGTTAGAGCTGCAGAGAGATGGGAGGAGAAGGAGCGTGCTATTGCATAAGAATGCAGGATGACAAACAGCTGGGGAGCAGATGATTCTCAGAAGCCATCAGTGAGCAGGTCAAGAGAATAGATGAAATATTCATTGCGTGCCACTGGAGTGGCAGACGGATGGATGGAGAGAGTGAGCGAGAGAAACAGTCATTCATATTAAACAATAAGAGGTGGATACAGAATTCAATGATAGTCATCAGAATGTTTTAATGTCCTTGTGTGTAAAAGAAAATGGTGGAAAACTACAAACGTCACAATGTGAGGCGAGCAGCAGTTATGAGCAACAAGTCTAGGTTAGTGTGTCCCCACCCTTCAGGCTATCTGCTGTGATCAAGTCAAACTGTTGACTTTGGAATGGTGAAAGTGCATCGCTGAGTGGAATGAGCAGCTGAGCCTGTGAAGCTGGAGACAGGGGGCTCCATAGGGGAGGAGGGGGTTGGGGGGGAGGGTCACTTCTCATAACCAAAAAAAGGAGGAGAGATAGATCTTCTCTTTTAGTGACTGGGCAAGTCTCCAGGCCTGAATAGCCACAGAAGGTCCACACCCATTCCCACATGGTCCAGCTCCGTATGAAGAATTTACTGCCCCATGATAGGGGGGGCAGAAAAGTGCATTCTCCCCTGAAATGCTGGGGCTTATATGCTGATGACTTCATAGCTACGGCAGCATCCCTAATGTTGATCCCGTCCATTAAGTTTTGAAGTTGAAACCAATCTGCTGGTCAGTTGTACTGGAAACCACTGAACCTGTTAAAACTATTCACACATCTCCTCCCAAGCTGTGTCTCACTGGAACTGAGAACTGGGGCTTTAGCTGCAGATGTACTGTACGTGACTTCTGATAGAAACGTCACGCAGGACAATCGGCCAAGATCGTTCTGCCTCTCCGTTTGGATGTGTTTGTTTTAGCAGCCTGAGGGAGTGGAGCCAGCTGGCTTCACTGCTGAACTCCACCATACTTTACCACTCACTCACCCTTGATGCCTTTCCTTCCACGGTGCTTTCACTTTCTCCCACGTCGTCTTCTGCTGTCTTTGGCTGTTGCGTTGTTTTTCTCACCATTGAGCAATGGAACTAAAGTTGGTCTTCTCTCAACCTCTCCATCAGTGCTGGCTCTCCCTCAGCTGCATCACCTGATCCCCGACGGTGAAGTTACCAGTATCAAAATCACACGGCAGGATCCCTCAGATCCACTGGCCATCAGCATTGTGGGCGGCAATGAGACCCCACTGGTGCGCATCCTCATCCAGGACATCTACAGAGAGGGCGTCATAGCCCGGGATGGCCGCTTGCTGCCAGGAGACATGGTTTTAAAGGTAAAGAAAGACTTCACCAGGACAGGAAAAGGCTAGCCAAGTTGCTATTTTGCCTTAAAACAATGTGTTGTTTGGTTGTTTTGCTGTCAGGTGAACGGCATTGACATAAGCAACGTGCCTCACTCCTACGCTGTTACGACCCTGAGGCAGCCCTGCCAACTCCTGCGGCTGACTGTGCTCAGAGAGCAGAGACACCGCTACCGCTCACACTCGCATGGCCACCCTCACGGGCATGGCCACGATGTTGCTGGGGGGCTGCCTCATCCCGTCAGAGATGACAGTGTGCACGTGGTCCTGAACAAAAACACTCCAGATGAACAGCTGGGCATCAAGCTCGTGCGGCGAGCAGAGGAACATGGCGTCTATATCTTTCATCTGCTAGAGGGAGGGCTGGCGGCACGTGACGGACAGTTGTGCACTGGTGACCGAGTGCTGGCTATCAACGGGCACGATCTTCGTTACGGGGCGCCAGAGCACGCTGCTCTGCTCATTCAGGTCAGTCACCAGGGGCCGCCGGTGGAAAGGTCACAGATGCCACAAATCTGACTTGATTGTGTTAACAGACCACGAACAAGCATGCTCTGCCCCTCCTACGTTTCCCTGAGGTATTAAAGATAATTGTGGTGATTCAAGCTAATTGTACTGCGCTGTGCTGTTGTGTCTGCACTCACTGGTTAATAGTGTTTAATTGTGGTGACTCCCCAACGGACCCGGCCGTTCTGCTGCCTCTGGTTCCTGGTTGGTGCCAGTCGATGATGGCGTGTTTTTGGTTAATGGTGGTTAATCACTGTGTGTTTGCGGTGGACCATGCACGCTCTCTGTGCTCAGAGTTCCTGTC